GCTGATGATCACAAGGCGCAAGCGCCTTGGTGAAGACATCAGCAGTGTTGGCCTCAGAGGCCACGTACGCAAGCCGCAACTGTCCACGCTGCTGTAGTTCACGAGCAAGGAAGTAGCGGAGAGCAATGTGCTTTGTTCTGTGCTCCAGTCGCTGCTCTCGACACAAGGCCAGCATGGCCTTGTTGTCTACGTACAGGACTGGAGGAGAACGAGGCGGCTCTCCAAGGTCAGTCAGCAGGTAGGTGAGCCAGCGAAGCTCCTGTGCAGCCATGGCCCCTGCGTAGATCTCAGCCTCACAACTGGAGCCGAGAACAGAAGACGAGCGAGTAGCCCGCCACGAAACAGAACCGGAACCAAGGCTGAAGGTGTAACCCTGTGACAACCGCTGCGTAGCCTGGTCGTCAGCCCAAGAAGCGTCCGCGTGCCCAGTGAGGACCACTGGACTGCGCCCTCCAAGCACTAGTCCCATGCCCGACGTACTGCACAAGTAGCGCAACACCCTCTTCGCTTCAGCCATGTGCTCTGGTCTGTGTCTCCCAGGAGCAACATAGCGTGCGAGAATGCTAAGAGGGTATGCAAGGTCAGGTCGTGTGTAGGTCATCACGTACATGAGGCAGCCAACAAGCTCTGGATACGGGCCACTCGACTCTACGGACTCATCCAAAGGCAGAGCTGAGAGCGAGTGGCGAGTAGGCAGAGGAGTGGCGTGAGGCGAGGAGTACGTGAAGCCGAAGCGCTGAAGGACCTACTGCACCATGTGTGACTGAGTTAGGATAATGGTGCGGCGTGCTCTGTCCCGGGTGATCTGCAAGCCAAGGTAGCTGCGCAGTTCACCCAGGTCTGTGCACGTGTGTCTCTTCTGCAGCTCGGACTTCACGTAGGCGAGTCCAGCAGTGTCAGCTGTGGCAAAGACCAAGTCGTCGACGTACACGAGGATGTAGAACGGCGGCAGAGAGGTGTCGGTGCGCAGAAACAGCGACGGGTTGGCAGTAGAAGTAGCAAACCCAAGAGCCGCAAGTGTAGTCCTCAGTGTGTCATGCCACTCACCTGGCGCCTGGCGGAGACCGTAGACTGGACGCCGGGGACTCCATTGGGTACAAGGAGGGAAAGACCCAGTGAAGCCAGGTGGGCGACGCAGCCAGATCTCCTCGTGCAGGCTGCCCTGCAAGAAAGCTGTGTTGAAGTCAAGAGAGTGAAGCTCGTAGTCACGGTGAGCAGCAACGTGCAGCAGTACCCGAAGAGTGGTCATCTTCAGGGTGGGGGAGAAGGTCTGAAAGTAGTCAACTCCCTGCCGCTGACTGAAACCATGAGCCACGTAACGCGCCTTGAAGATAGGCAGAGAACCCGGCGGCCGCTTCACCCTGAAGATCCACATGCCACTGACGATGTTCGCCCCAGGAGGGGGGACAGCGTCAACGTAGGTGCCTGTGGACTTCCAGGATGCCATCTCTGCATCCATAGCTGCCTGCCACTGAGACGAGTAGGGACCCTCTATCGCCTCCGCGTAAGAGCGCGGAGTCGGGATGTCAAGTGCATCCGGGTCTCCCTCAGGGGTAAGCAGTACGGACAGGAGATGAGGTGAAGCAGTCGCCAGACACTGGAACTCCTCCTGCCTGTCCTCAAGGACGTCCGTGCCAAGAGCACACTCACCCCCGACAGATGGAGGACAGACAGACTCAGACTCAGCGACAAGACTAGCAGCGTAGTCTAGGCGAAAGTGAGCAGCAAAGTCGACGAGCTCAGCAACTAGGGCAGACGCAGCAGTAGACTCAAAGGAAGGGTCAGTGACAATGGTAGCAAGGAGACGCGTGACAGTAGGACTGGCAGCACGAAGAGAGTCCGACTTTGGGTGGGCAAGAGCAGGAAGAGAGGACTCAGGAGGGGAAGGCAAAGGGGCACGCAGAGGAGCAGTAGACGGACGCAACGACATCCGGTGCGTGCCAGGGACAGGAGGAGGACGCTGGCGCGGACCGCGACCACTAGCGCGAGTTGCACGAACAGGCGACGCAGGACGAGACGCAGGCTGACGACGCTCAGTAAGACCTCCAGTAGGACCAGCGTAGGGAGAAGGAGTAGGCAAAGGGGAGGCAGGCTGGAGCTGGGACTGTGACAGGACAGGCTGGGGACCCTGTAAGGTAGGAGGCGGACCAGTGGAGAGTGGAAGACCAAGAACCTGCTGCAGGAGTGGAACAAAGTACGGTCGAGGCCGCGTGGTGACGCCAGAAGCAGCATGGACAGCACCAGTACCCTCAGCAGGAGCACCCGACCCAGCAGAACCTCCAGCAGCTTGTGAACCTCTAGCAGCACCAGTAGCACCCCCAGCAGGACCGCCAGCAGTAGTCTCAGCACCAACACCCTCAGCAGCACCAGCTCCAGTCGAACCCGCAGACCCAGTAGCTCCAGTACTCTCAGTACGAGCACCTCCGGGACCCGCGACCGCAGCACCCTCAGCAGCCGAAGAACCTCTAGAAACAACAGAACGGCGCCAGCGCCGGGCAAACCACTCGCGCAGCTCCTGTGGAGAGAGTGGCTCACGGCGAGAAGAAGCACCCGGAGAACCTCCAGGCGGAGCACCTCCACGCTCAGCACCCTCAGGCATAGCACCCCCAGGCTCAGCACCCCCAGACGCAGCACCCCCAGGCTCAGCACCCCCAGTCTCAGCACCCCCAGACGCAGCACCCCCAGGCTCAGCACCCCCAGGCTCAGCACCCCACGACGCAGCACCCCCAGGCTCAGCACCCCCAGCAGCACCAGAGTCACCAGTGACCTCGACAGGCTCGACTGCGTCTACCTGGGACACACCTGAAGGGGCAAGACCCTGAGGGGGAAGGGGGTCTACCTGGGGGGGACCGGGTACAAGGAAGAGTGGGGGTGGGGGGAGGGACGGAGTGCGGTAGGGGAAGAGGCGGTAGTAGGGGACCGACTCGTCAAACGTGACGTCCTGGGAGGACAGAACACGTCGAGAGGTGGGGTGGTAAACTGCCACCCAGGCGCGTCAGGGGGGAACCCCAGGAAGACGCAAGGAGCAGCACGAGGGGAGAGCTTGTCCGCAGACAAGTCGCGGACAAACGCCCGAGATCCCCAGACCCGGAACGCTGACGCATCGCCAACCTTCCCTGTCCACAGCAAGGCTGGGGAGGTCTCCGGCCTGGAGACTCTGGGGTGGAGGTTGATCTGATGCGCCGCGTACCTCACCGCAAACAGCCACAGAAAATGGGGGGCAGCCGCATGCATCATAGACGTACGAGCGACGTCCATGACCATGCCAATGCGGCGCTCAGCAATCCCATTTTGCTGCGGTGAGTCCGGAAGCGTGAAGGTCTGAAGGATGCCTCGTGCACGACAGTAGGCTCGCAGAAGGCCAGAGGAGAACTCTCCGCCTCTGTCCGAGTGCAGACGAAGAACAGGGAAGTCCGAGCCAAAGCTCTGCCTGAGCTGGAGACGAGCAGCGCGGATCCAGTCGATCAGTACCTCAGTGACATCACCCTTGGTGCGCAAGGGGAAGACTGTGTTTAACGCGAGTAGTCGTCAACAACGAGCAGGAAGTAGCGCTCGTGACCCTGTCCACAGACGCGGGCTGGGCCCCACACGTCCATGTGAAGCGTCTGCAACGGGGCCTGTGTCGGAGGAAACTGGGAGGAGTGAGGGGCAGCATGTTGGCGCCCCTCGACACAGGGGACACAGGCAGGGCTAGGGCCCTGAGGAAGGGGAGGGAGGGACCGGGGGAGACCAGACACAAGAAGACGAGAGGCCATGCCTCTGAGCCGAAGCAGAGAGGGGTGGCCAAGGCGGTGGTGCCAGAGGAGAGTCTCGTGAGACAGGAGACGACATGAACAGGGGGTAGACTCAGGACCAGACCTGGACGTCGCAGCAAACACCTGACCCAACGCAGCTACCCTACCAGACTCAGCAGCTGGAGGAGACGCAGTGGTCAGAGTGTGCAGGCTCGACCCCGGCTGACGGGTGAACGTAGCCAGGTGTCGGCCTGTGCTAGCCTCTGTGCAGTGTGTCACTCGCTGACGCGCAGGAGTGAACTGGTGGACACCTGCATCCTGTAGGTCAGCACCACTCACCAGGTTCGTCGAGAATGAGGGGAGGTAAAGACCAGACAGGGTGCCAGAGGGAGCCGCTGGACACGGGAGGACTGTGGAGAAGCGAGACAGTACAGGACCCCCGGAGAAGTCAGCCAGAGACACCGCAACCGGTCGACTGAGCGGCGTGAGTGTGGTGCGGTCCCGAAAGAAGGAGCGAGACGCCCCAGAGTCAAGGGTGAAGGTGAGGGCGGCGGGGCCGCAGGAGCAAGGCGGCGGGGCTGCCGAGAAAGGCGGCGGGGCCGCGTTGTAGGGCGGCGGGGCCGCAGGAGTAGGGCGGCGGGGCCGCGACGTAGGGCGGCGGGGCCGCGACGTAGGGCGGCGGGGCCGCGACGTAGGGCGGCGGGGCCGCAGGAGAGGGAGGGCCGCTAGGGCGTAGTGGCCACTAGGGCGGCTCGACGAGGTGAAAGCCCGAGGCGCGACTCGGGGGAAGGGGGGAGCGCGCTTCGGGCAGGAAAAACATTTTCTCGATATGGTGGGCCCTAGGCACAGTTCCCTCGGGGGAACCTGCTCTGATACCATGAGGAAAGTCGAACGAGAATGGATGAACTATGAATGAAGTGAGTACAAATATGAAATCATAATTGGTTGTACCCCCTATGGGATACCCCACTATAGCCTACACAACAGCATAAGCTATAATGTTCCGACACCAAGCACCAGCAGAAAATATGCTAATGCCTACGGCCGAGCATGCTCATGCGCTCTCTCACGCGCTCTCACGCGCTCTCTCACGCGCTCTCTTACGCGCTCTGTCACGCACTCCCTCACGCACTCCCTTACTCTCTCCCTCATACGCTCCCTCACGCGCTCCCTCACGTGCTACCTCAGACGCACCTCAATGCGCACACTCACGCGCAATCTCACGCTCACTCTCACGAGTCTCTCAAGTCGCTCGCGCGCACTCTCATGCGTACTCTTACGCACACTTCCACGCGTACTCTCACGAACACACTCTTGAGCACTCTCACGGGCACTCTCACGAGCACTCTCGCGAGCACTCTCACGAGCACCGTGCGCACCCTCACGTGCACTCACACGCGCACTCTCACGTGCACTCCCACACGCACTCTCACGTGCTCTCTCACGCGCGCTCTTTCGCGCTCTCACACACTCTCTCACGCGCTCTCTCACGCGCTCTCTCACGCGCTCTCTCACGCGCACTCTTATGGGGACTCTCACGCGCTCTCTCACGCGCACGCGCTCTCTCACGCGCTCTCTCACGCGCTCTCTTACGCGCACTCTCATGGGGACTCTCACGCGCTCTCTCACGCGCACTCTCACGCGCTATCTCACGCGATCTCTTTCACGCTCTCTCTCACGCACTCTCACGCACATTCTCTCTCTCATGCGCCCTCTCACGCACTCTCTCACGTGCTCTCTCTCACGCGCTCTCACTCTCTCGTGCGCACTCTCATGCGCACTCTCACGCGCACTATCACACGCACTCTCACGTGCACTCCCATGCGCATTCTCACGCGCTCTCTCACGCGCTCTCGCACGCTCTCTCTCGCGCACTCTCTCACGCACTCTCTCGCGCGCTCTCTTACGCGCACTCTCGCGCGCACTCTTACGCGCACTCTTACGCAAACTCTTAAACACACTCTCCCGAGCACTCTCATGCGCACACACTCTCTCTCTCACAAGCTCTCTCACGCGCTCTCTCACGCGCACTCTCACGCGCACACTCACGCTCTCTCATGCGCTCTGTCACGCGCTCTCTCATACGCGCTCTCTCATATGCACCCTCACGCGCTCTGTCACACGCTCTCACACGCAATCTCTCGCGCACTCTCTCATGCCCTCTCTGACGCACTCTCTCACGCGCTCTCTCATGCGCACTCTCAGGCACTCTCTCACGCGCTCTCTCACGCGCTCTCTCACACGCTCTCTCACGCGCACTCTCACGGGCACACTCACGAGCAGTCTCACGAGCACTCTCACGCGCACTCTCACGCACACTCACACGCGCACTCTCACGCGCACTCTCACGCGCACTCTCACATGCTCTCTCACGCGCGCTTGCACGCGCTCTTACACACTCTCTCACGCGCTCTCTCATGCGCTCTCTCACACGCACTCTCACGGGCACTCTCACACGCTCTCTCACGCGCACTCTCACGCGCTCTCTCACGCACTGCCTCTCTCGCTCTCTCTCACAAACTCTCACTCACATTCTCTCTCTCCCGCGCCCTCTCGCGCTGTCACAGGATCGAATTCTTAATCGAAACTTGTCACTAAAACTGAATACAAGGCATTTTTATACTCGGAGAATACAAGGATAATCGAGATAAAACGAACCTTCAGGAACACGCCCTTCCCGATACTATAACCACAAGTGCGCATAAGCACGCAAGGCTATTGGCACTTGGGATTACGCCTAGATTACCCCGTATACACTACTGTCGGCGCTGTCGGTGCCGTATAATAGGTATGTCGGTGGGAAAAGTAGGAAATAAGAGAAATAAATAGAAGGCTCTAGAAAATAGAATAGTAGGCCGATTGAGATGAGATAAAGACCAAAATAAAGAGGAGAAAAGGGAGAATAGGATAATGGAAAAATAAAATAGTGAGAAAATATTATAACGGGGACGTCCTCTCACACTTCCCCCCCTCAAAGCTGGGTGGTAGAAGTAACACCCTGCTTTACAAGGTAGTTTTAGAGAGGACGGCGGGCGTTATCCATGTCGTGTTCAGGTACCCAGGTATCCTCGGAAGGATCATAGCCTTTCCAACGAATCAAGAGCTCCAAGGTGCCGTTACGTTGTCGTCGGTGCGCCAGAACGGCTTCGACTTCGTACTCGGGTTCCCCATTAACGATCACAGGCAGTGGCGGCGGCGGCTGGCGACCTTTGAAGACCGTGTTTGGGTCCCGATAGGGCTTGAGAAGTTGAACATGGAAGGCATTGTGAATTCTCCAGGTAGCTGGTAAACGCAAGCGGAAGGTTACTGGAGTGACCTGCGCCTCGACGAGAAAAGGTCCGCAGAAGCGAGGTCGGAGCTTAGACGGAAGATGGCTAATGTCGAGATTGCGTGTATCCAGAAGCACTTGATCGCAAATCTTGATGGAATGATCGTTGCGACTCCGATCAGCGAGCTTCTTTTGTTGTTGCTGGATAGTCAGAAGACGTTTATGCGTGCGCTCCCACAATTGGTGCATAATGGAAATGAAGTCATGTGCGGGTTGCACCGTGGCGGGTACTGTTGGTTTCTGAGGCGTGAGTGGGTTGCAACCGTAACAGAGGAAGAAAGGATTTTGCCCTGTTGCGGCGTGCGTGGCGTTGTTATACGCAAACTCGAGAACCGGTAGATGTGCATCCCATGTAGAGATATTGTCCTTACACGCTGCTCGCAGAAGCTGTTCGACAATCTGGTTGAGGCGCTCTGTCTGACCATCCGTTTGGGGATGATAGGCTGATGACATGGCGAGTTTGGTCCCCATGAGCGACATAAGCTCCTTCCAGAACTTACTCGTGAATTTTGGGTCTGTGTCGGAGATCAGCGTGGTTGGAATGCCATGTTGCGAGATGACGTAGCGGAAGAATAATTGCGCTGTTTCCTCGATGCGAGGCGTTGAGTGTGTCGGAATGAAGTGTCTTATTTTGGAGAATTTGTCGATGACGACTAGAATGGCGTCGTAACCAGCTTTGGTAGGTGGTAACCCAGTGATGAAGTCGAGGCTAACCACTTGCCAAGGCTGTTCAGGGACTGGAAGAGGCTATAGTAACCCTGCTTTCTTCTGTTTGCTGCTCTTCATCCGTTGGCATGTGTCGCACGAGGTGACGAATTTGTGTACGTCATCCGCCATGTGGGGCCAATAATAATGCTTCGCAATACCGGCAAGCGTCTTGTTACTACCGAAGTGGCCCGCGTAGAGAACATCATGATATTCTTCGAGCAGTAGCTGGCGTAAGGGAGGGTAATTAGGTACCCATATTTTTGTTGAGCCCTTGCGGTATGCGATGTCTTGATCCCATTGTAGAAGATGGCGTTTTTCTGCTACAGAGACTTCGGGGTCGATGGTGTATCCATGCGTGAAGAGTCCCTTCAAAAGGGGGTTCATGCCATCGACTTGTAGGGCGGCAACGTGTGCAGGGCAACTCAGTGCGTCTGCCTTGTTCTTGTGCCCCGGCTTATACACGATGTCGTAATGGAAGTGGGCTTCGAGAAATTCAATCCACCGGACCTGCCGCCTGGAGAGTGTTGGTTGGGTCTTCAGGTACTTGAGGCTGCAGTGGTCGTTGTAGACGGTCGTTTTTCTTCCTTCGAGATAACACCTCCATGCCTTAAATGCGTTGACGATGGCGAGGGCCTCTTTGTCATGGATGGGGTAATTGAGTTCTGCCCTGTGAAGTTTTTTACTGAGGTATGCAATGGGTTGCACTCCCTTCCCTTGATCCTGCATGAGTACTGCGCCCACTGCTTGATCGCTCGCATCGGCCTCGATGACATAGTCAAGTTCAGGGTCTGGCAGGATAAGGACAGGTGCGGACGTGAGTGCGGTTTTAAGTTGTTCCACGGCTTCCTGGAGCTTCGCCTTCCATTGATATGGTGTATTCTTCTTCAACAGGTTCGTTAATGGTGCGGCAATCTTGGCGTAGTTTGGTACGAACCGGTTGTAGTAGTTGGCGAATCCAAGGAACTGTTGTAATTCCTTCACGTTCTCAGGGGTCTTCCACGTTCGCACTGCTTCGATCTTCTTAGGATCCACGTGAACTCCTTGAGCGCTCACCATATGTCCAAGGAACTGGACTTTTTTCAATGCAAACTCGCTCTTGGATGGTTTCACGTAGAAGCGTTCTCGTCGAAGAATTTCAAACACCCGTTGCAGATGCTCAACGTGCTTCTTCATGTCTTTCGAGTAGATCAGGATATCGTCCAAATATACCACCACGCACTCGTCCAGAAGGGGCCGAAGGATGTGGTTCATTTCTGCCTGAAATGTGGCTGGTGCGTTAGTGAGTCCGAATGGCATTACGAGATACTCCTATGACCCATACCGAGTTCGAAAGGCGGTTTTGTGGATAGAGTTGTCCGCCATACGAATTTGCCAGTATCCCGATCTAAGGTCGAGCTTGGAGAATACCGTAGCACCGCGAAGTTGATCGAGTAAGTCGTCGATCCGTGGTATCGGGTATTTATTTTTTACAGTCTGCTTGTTCAAGGCTCGGTAGTCGATGCACATTCAGAGACTTCCGTCTGGCTTCGGGGTGAAGAGAACAGGGGCTCCGTACGGTGAAGTCGAAGGTCGGATCAACCCTTTCTCCAGGAGATACTCTATTTGTTTTTTCATATCGGCAAGCTCTGTCGGGCTCAGCCGGTATGGTGCTCGGAACGTTGGCTTGGACCCCGGCTCTTCTACGATCTCGTGTTGATGCGACCGGTATGGCGTTAGTTGATCAGGTAAATCATCGGGGAGAACGTCCTGGAACTCTTCAAGAATTTTCTTGACTGTTGGAGGAAGTTCCTGGGTCTGCTTCTCTCCGTTGTATGCTTCGTTGACTATCGCCATGAATCCCGCCGTAGTCCGTTTGACGTCCTTTTCAAAGCGTGCGAGTGTCTCGACTGGAATATTTCCCGTGTCTTCCCATTTGGGAAGGCTGATTTTCCTCCCATTGTTGTTGATGTTGGCCGTCCGGTTAACCCAGTTGATCTCGGGGTTGAACTTTTAAGAAAGTCTCTCCCGAAGATTACGTCGAGTCCTTTGATATTTGTGACGGGGAGAGCAGGCTTCCATCGAAGGGGTCCAATCTGGAGTAGCAACCGTGTTTCCCCGTAGATAGGTAGCTTACTGCCATCCACCATCGTTGCAGAGAAGCTTGAGTACTTGATGTCACTTCCGAGTCGATCGATTGCCTTTTTGTCATAGACGCTGTGCGACGCCCCGCTGTCCACGAGTGCTTGGAGGCGCTGTCCGTTGCAGATCACCTCGAGCAGGAGTGGTGAGCGTTGCTCGGAGTACCCAAAAATAGTCTCATTAATAGGATCATAGGGTACATCCCAATATTCAGTACACACCGTGGTTCCACTGTTTTCTCCTGGACAACTAGCTGGCCTGGGCTGCGTGGAGAAAGGCTCCTCTCCAACGCCAGGAGTAGAGGTAGTAACCGTACAGGTTGACCCTGAGGGGGTGGATCCGGTCGATGCCTGCGATCCACTGGATGCATCCTGGAGGGGTTTTCGGAGATTCTGCAGCTTCTTTTGAACTCCCTGTCAGAATATATTTGCTGTCTAGCCTGCAGTGGGGTACTCTGTAATGAGTACAACCCAATTTAGGGCATTGTACTTGTATCCCAACCCTTCCTAGTGAAACCACTTCTCCTCTTCCAAACCTCTCGATACTTTCCTAACCCTCTCGAACTCGATCACCTAGGCACCTAAACTATGGCTTCTAAGCCTACCTTTGCTTAAGATTCTGAGATGGTATTAGAGCTTAACGCTCCTGGCCTGTGGGCCCACTCGATTCCGCTGCCCTATTGTGTGTCGTGCGCCCCGTGGCGCACGACCACCGTTTTTTCTTCCCGCCACGCGCTCGAGGCGCGTGGCGGTTTTCTGCCCGCCGTGCGCCCCGAAGCGCGCGGCGGGTACCTACCTCGTCGCGGCGTCTTGGGAGCCCGCGCGCTGGCCCCGACCGTCGCCTCGTCGCGGCGTTTTGGGGGCCCGCACGCAGGTCCCTCCCGTCGCCTCGTCGCGGCACTTTCGGGGCTCGCGAGCCGGCCCCTCCCGTTGCCTCGTCGCGGCGCCTTAGGGGCCTGCGCGCGGTCCCCTCTCGTCGCCCGTCGCGGCACTTTCGGGGACCTGCGCGGCTCCCTAGCACGTCACCCTTCAGGGCACAATGGGGGCCGCGCCCTTCCCCTCCCCTCCGTCCTACTTTCCGCTGCAGCAGCCCCAGCAGCTGCAGCCCCTGAAACGGCCACCGCAGCAGCAGCAACTCCAGGAGCCGCCGCCCCAGCAGCAGCCCCTGGGGCCGCCCCAGTAGCAGCAGCCCCGGGAGCAGCCGCCCCAGCAGCTGCTGCCTCTGGAGCGGCCACCCCAGCAGCAGCAACTTGTGGAGCAGCCGCCCCAGCAGCAGCAGCCCCGGGAGCAGCCGCCCCAGCAGCAGCAGCCCCTGGAGCCGCCCCAGCAGCAGCCCCGGGAGCAGCCGCCCCAGCAGCAGCAGCCCCGGGAGCAGCCGCCCCAGCAGCAGCCACTGGAGCAGCCGCCCCAGCAGCAGCCACTGGAGCAGCCGCCCCAGCAGCAGCTGCCTCTGAAGCGGCCACCCCAGCAGCAGCAGCCCCTGGAGCCGCTGCTACTGCAGCAGCCACCCCACCAGCAGCAGCACGTGGAGCAGCAGCAGCAGCAGCAGCCCCAGCAGCTGCAGCCCCTGAAACGGCCACCGCAGCAGCAGCAGCTCCAGGAGCCGCCGCCCCAGCAGCAGCCCCTGGGGCCGCCCTAGTAGCAGCAGCCCCGGGAGCAGCCGCCCCAGCAGCTGCTGCCTCTGGAGCGGCCACCCCAGCAGCAGCAGCTTGTGGAGCAGCCGCCCCAGCAACAGCAGCCCCGGGAGCAGCCGCCCCAGCAGCAGCAGCCCCTGGAGCCGCCCCAGCAGCAGCAGCCCCGGGAGCAGCCGCCCCAGCAGCAGCACCCCCGGGAGCAGCCGCCCCAGCAGCAGCTGCCTCTGAAGCGGCCACCTCAGCAGCAGCAGCCCCTGGAGCCGCTGCTACTGCGGCAGCCATCCCACCAGCAGCAGCACGTGGAGCAGCAGCAGCAGCAGCCGCCCCAGCAGCAGCCCCAGCAGCGGCAGCCACTGGAGCAGCCGCACCAGCAGCAGCCGCCCCTGGCCCCTGCAGCAGCCGCTCATGGACCAGGTGCAGCCGTGGGGGGTGAGTGTTGGGGTGCTAGTTGTGGGGGTGTCGGTTGTGCGTGCCGTCCCCTCCTCCTCCTCCTCCTTCGTCTCCCACTGCTACAGCTCTCGCTGAGGGGGGTGGATGTGTGGGAGACTGGGGTTTAGGGTTTAAGGGGGGGTGGGTGGGAGTGGAGCTAGCGGTATAGCAGCGGGTGTGTGTCGGGGGGTGGGACTGTGTGCGGGAGGATGAGCGGAGGTTGCCAGTCTATTGTCCGCAGCACCTGTAGTCCGGGCGCTTAGTCAGGTAGCCCAGTGAGTTTGTTGCTGCGCCAGTCGCCCGAGGGTCCGTTGCCCGTCTACCGCTACTTGAGCCGCGGGGCCTGTTACTCCTGTACTCCGGGCGCTTAGTCCGGTAGCCACTGTGCTCGCCACTCCTGTTGCCCGTGTGTCTGCAGCTTCAGCCGCCGCCTTCTATCTCCTCTCCTCTCACTCTCCCTCCTCCTCCTCACTTGCCCGTTGTGACTACCACTAGCTTTGCTGATAACTCTGCACTTTAACTATTGCTTCTTGAACTTGTGCTCAGAATGTGTGGTGACATTGTGATCCACCCTGAGCTTGTACTGCTCTGCCTGCTCTGCTGATTACACCCCACTTTGGCTATGGGGGTGTGTCAGAATATATTTGCTGTCTAGCCTGCAGTGGGGTACTCTGTAATGAGTACAACCCAATTTAGGGCATTGTACTTGTATCCCAACCCTTCCTAGTGAAACCACTTCTCCTCTTCCAAACCTCTCGATACTTTCCTAACCCTCTCGAACTCGATCACCTAGGCACCTAAACTATGGCTTCTAAGCCTACCTTTGCTTAAGATTCTGAGACTCCCAACTGCCTCTTCAGCTGCTTCAGCTCCATAGACTTCTTCCCTGGGGAGTGGAGAGTCGTCTTGGGCTGGTTCTGGGAGAGGACGTTGACGCCGTGAAAAGGTCTACTCCTTTCCACACTCCTTATTTTTTTCCCCAGCTCCGTAGGCACCGGTACCACTTCTTTAATTGTCTGCTTCCTCTGGAGTTCTTCCCAGAATTTGTTTATGGCTCCGGACCCGCGAAAATCGCCAGTCTTCATTAAAACATCTTTGAAAGATAACTTTAACGAATTCTGTTTTTTTTCCGGGGTCGAATTGGAGAGTTCCCGTCTTGGTCGAGTCTGTTTTCGCGGAGGTTTTCTTTTCCTCGGCGAATTCCTCTGACAAATTTCGGTCAAGGGGCTTGGGATTTCGCCCTTGATTCTCCAAATCTCGCGCTCAATGCTGTCCTTCAATTTGGATTCGGTCCAGATTGCGCTTACGCTTTCGGATCTGCTTTTCCTTGCCAGCCCGATCCGCAATCACTGGCGAGATCCGTTTTTTGACTTTTTGTCTTTAGTTTCGCCACTCCCACGAGCTCGGAATGCCGCACGTGCTGATTTCATGTGAAAACAGTCGACAATCCGATGTCCGTTTCCGCCGCAAAATTCACAAATCGTTTTGTTTTTTGCAGGTCGTGAATTCGCGTCGAAATTGTCGACTTCCATGGGGTCGGCGAACGTGGTTGAAGCCGAGCGATCCCCTTGTCGTGATCCGACGACGTGGGGCCGTCGTGTTCCGGAGTTGACCAAGTCAAAACGCTCCGCGGCCGATACGATTTCGCTGTAGCTGCTGCAATTCTCTGCTGCAACCTGGCGCCGAATGTCGGTTTTCAGCCCCGCGATGTAGGACTGAATTTTTTCGCCCTCGGTAATGTCGGGAATCCGATTATAAAATTCCTCCATCTGCTGTGTGTATTGCGCGACACTCCCGAATTGCCTATGGTGATGTAATTTTTCGCGCGCAATATAAGTGGAATTAATCGGCTCAAAACGTTTGAGAAGGTCTGCCCGGAACTGCTGCCACGTGGCTTCGCCCTGGAAAATGCTACTGTTGCTTCCGAGCCACTCGAGAGCTGGACCGCGCATCAACGTTGTCGCGAGACGAATTTTCTCGCCGTCGTACTCCGTCGTCGACCATCCGATCGCCGCGAAATAAATTTCCATCGTCGCGAGCAACCGCCTGACGTCGGATTTTCGATCGCTAGGGTCGAACGATTCCGGCGAGCGAAGTTTCGAAACCTCGAACCGACACTGCGACTGCTGCGAAGTCGTCGAAGCAGGAATGTTCATAGTCGAGAGAAGTTGCGTAACTCGCTGCAGTTCGTTTCGCATCTGCTCGTTCTCCAATCGCGACCGTTCAATCATCGCTCGCATCTCCGCTTCCATCTTGGCGATTTGCGCGAAGAGCTGCTGCGTAACGTCGTTGGTCGCCGGTGAAACCATCCTGTTCAGAAACCACGTGAGGGGGTTAATTCGAAAAACGCGGAACTGGTGCTTACCAGAAATCGGCGTCGAATTGGTCGCCCCCGGCGGTTTTTCGAGGCGATTTTTTCCGCGACCGCTGTGTCAGATTTATATGACATAGTTGCTGTAGGCTATAGTGGGGTAGCACATATGGGGTACAGGGTTTCTAGGGTTGTATTTGTACCCAATCTTTCCTTAGTCATTCCATTCCTGTTCACTTGTTTCACATGGTATCAGAGCGGGTCCTTCCTAAGGACCGTTTTTTTTAGGGCCCACCGAAGCGCGCCCCGAGGCGCGCATTTTATTTAGCGACCCCTCGGGTCGCCATTTCCCTCGCGGCCCCGCTGCCCCTCCTGATCGCGGCCCCGCCGCCTGCTTGACGCGGCCCCGCCGCCTCCACTGACGCGGCCCCGCCGCCGGCTCTGACGCGGCCCTGCCGCCCGCTACGTCGCGGCCCCGCCGCCTACTTGACGCGGCCCCGCCGCCTCCACTGACGCGGCCCCGCCGCCGGCTCTGACGCGGCCCTGCCGGCCCGCCGCTGCACCTGACGGCCCCGCCGCTGCACCTGCCGGCCCGCCGCTGCACCCTACGGCCCGCCGCTGCACCCTACGGCCCGCCGCCTCACCTGACGGCCCCGCCGCTGCGCCTGCCGGCCCGCCGCTGCACCCTACGGCCCGCCGCTGCACCCAGCGGCCCGCCGCTTCACCTGACGGCCCAGCCGCTGCACCTGCCGGCCCGCCGCTGCACCCTACGGCCCGCCGCTGCACCCAGCGGCCCGCCGCTTCACCTGACGGCCCCGCCGCTGCACCTACCGGCCCGCCGCTGCACCCTACGGCCCCGCCGCTGCACCTGCCGGCCCGCCGCTGCACCGGTCGACCCGCCGCTGCACCTGCCGGCCCGCCGCTGCACCTGACGGCCCCGCCCCTGCATCTCCCGGCCGAGCCGCCCCAGCAGCCGAGCCGCCCCAGCCGCCGAGCCGCCCCAGCAGCCGAGCCGCCCCAGCAGCCGAGCCGCCCCAGCAGCCGAGCCGCCCCAGCTGCAGTGCCGCGCGAGCCGCCCGAGCCGCCGAGTCGCCCGAGCCGCCCAGCAGTCGAGCCGCCCGAGCCGCCCGAGCCGCCCGAGCCCTCCCTGCACTGCCCTGTCTGGTGAGCACTGAGCTTTACTCTGCGCACTGCCCTCTCTCTACTGCTGTCATGGCTACCCCCAGTGTCCTCGCCTTTGACGCTGAGGGCAGAGCCATTGACTTTGACGTGTGGGTAGACGACCTACTGCTTTTCCTACAGTGCGACAGAGCTGACGGACTCTCTCTCTTTGATCTCACTTCTGGTGCCTCTCCCGCCCCTGCTGCTACTGAGGATGCCACTGTTCGCTCACAGTGGGCCACACGCGATGCTGCTGCACATCTTGCTGTGCGTTGCCACCTCCCTCCCGCTGAGCGTGCGCACTTTGGGTCGTACAAGAGTGCTAAGACCTTGTACGACGCCGTTATCGCACGCTACTCCACCCCTGCCACTGCTGCACTGAGCCGCCTCATGCTACCGTACCTCTTTCCCGACCTTGCTGCTTTTGCCACAGTCGCCGACCTCATTACCCACCTGCGCACTAGTGACGCTCGCTTCCGCGCTGCACTTCCTGCTGAGTTCTGCGCCAAGAACCCCCCCCCCAGTACTTCACTCTCTACTACATTGTCACCCGCCTCCCTGACTCCCTTCGCGTAGTCAGGGACGACCTACTCGCAGTCTGCTCCACCACTCTCACTGTCGAGATCCTCGAGAAGTCCCTCCTCGCAGCAGAGAAGAGCATTCTCGCTGTAGGGGCCTCTCGTGGTGACCCGCGCACCCCCATCTTTGAGGGGTGTTCCCCCTCCCCTCTCCTGCCCTCTGTCGCCTCTGCTGCTACGGCCGACCTTGTTGGTTTTGAGTCGGTCGGAGCGGCGTCTGCCCCCAGCGGGAGACGTCGCTCTGGCAAGAGCAAGGGGGGCAGGGGCGGTGGTGGAGGTGGCGGGGGCGGTGGAGGCGGAGGTAGAGGCAGCGGCGGAGGTGAGGGTGGTAGCGGGAGTAGTGGCGGGAGTGGAGGTGTCGGCGGAGGCGGTGGAGGCGGGGGCGGCAGCGGCGGTGGTAGTGGGGGTGGAGGCGGAGGCGGCGGTGGCGGCGGCGACGGTGGGAGTGGCGGTGGCGGTGGAGGTGGTGGCGGCGGCGGCGGAGGAGGCGGCGGAGGTCGTGGCGCGCCGAGGAGGAGTGGCTCCGGTGGTGGTCAGCGCCAGCAGCAGCAGCGTGGTCAGGAGACCCTCTCCCCGCAGCAGCTCCGTGAGTGGTACTCTGCGCGTCAGCGGGGTGGGGGTACTGGTCCGTGCACTTACGTCCTGCGCACTGGCGACTATGCGGGTGAGCAGTGTGGTGGTCCACACTCCACCCAGCGTTGCTTCGGCCGCCTGAGTGACGCTTGGCGCCGCCAGTTTCCTGACGCCTCTGAGATCCCTCGCTGGGACCAGCTGTCTAGGGCTGGAGTAGCTATCTTTGATCTTGACTTTGATGCTATTCTTGCTGCTATGTATGCTGTGACTATTAGTGAGGAGGGTGACTGTTACCGGTGTTTCCCGCCCGACCCGGGCATTGGTACTGCGGCTCTAGGTGCTGTTGAGGCTGCTGCTCCAGGTGCTGGTGAGGCTGTTGCTCTACGTGCCAGTGAGTCTGAGTCCTCAGGTGCTGGTGAGTCTGCTCTCTCAGGTACTGTGTCGACTTCACCCTCTCTCACTTTCACTCTTGACTCCGGGGCGTCTCGCTCCTTCTTTCGAGACCGCACCACACTCACGCCGCTTAGTCGACCAGTGGCGGTCTCCTTGGCAGACCCCTCTGGGGGTCCTGTTCTGGCTCGCTACTCCACTGTCCTGCCGTGCCCTGCGGTCCCGTCTGGCGCCCTGTCCGGTCTCTACCTCCCCTCGTTCTCTACGAACTTGGTGGCGGGTGCTGACCTACAGGATGCAGGGGTTGACCAGTTCACCCCTGCACGCCGACGAGTCACCCACTGCATGGACGCGGACACGGGTCGACACCTGACCACATTCACACGTGGTCCAGGGTCGAGCCTGTACACACTCACTGTTCCGTCTCCTCCTCCTGCGTCTGGTCAGGTAGCTGCGTCGGGTCAGGTGTTTGCTGCAGCGTCCAGGTCTGGTCCTGAGTCTGCCCCCTGCTCGTGTCGCCTCCTGTCCCACGAGACCCTCCTGTGGCACCACAGGATGGGTCACCCCTCCCTGCCTCGTCTCCGGGGCATGGTCTCTCGCCTTCTCGTCTCTGGCCTTCCCCGGTCCCTCCCTCCCCTTAATCCGGGGCCTGGCCCTCCCTGTGTCCCCTGTGTCGAGGGTCGCCTGCGGGCTACCCCTCACTCCTCCCCGTTCCCTCCGACGGAGGCCCCGATGCAAACGCTTCACATGGACGTGTGGGGCCCAGCCCGCGTCCGTGGACAGGGTCACGAGCGCTACTTCCTGCTGGTGGTTGACGACTACACGCGTTACACCTTAGTCTTCCCCTTGCGCAGCAAGGGTGAGGTCACTGAGGTGTTGATCGACTGGATCCGCGCAGCTCGTCTCCAGCTCGGGAAGAGCTTCGGCTCAGACTTTCCTGTTTTCCGCCTGCACTCAGACAGAGGCGGAGAGTTCTCCTCCGGCCTTCTGCGAGCCTACTGTCGGGCACGAGGCATCCGCCAGACCTTCACGCTTCTGCACTCTCCACAGCAGAATGGGATTGCTGAGCGCCGCATCGGCATTGTCATGGACGTCGCCCGTACGTCCATGGTGCATGCGGCTGCCCCCCATTTTCTGTGGCCGTTTGCGGTTCGGTACGCCGCGCATCAGATCAACCTTCACCCCAGGGTCTCTCGGCCCGCGATGTCCCCAGTCTTGATGTGGACGGGGAAGGTTGGCGATGCGTCGGCGTTCCGTGTCTGGGGATCTCGGGCGTTTGTCCGCGACTTGTCTGCGGACAAGCTGTCCCCTCGTGCTGCTCCCTGTGTCTTCCTTGGCTTCCCCCCTGACGCCCCAGGGTGGCAGTTCTACCACCCCTCCTCTCGTCGTGTTCTGTCCTCCCAGGACGTCACGTTCGACGAGTCAGTCCCCTTCTACCGCCTCTTCCCCTACCGCACTCCTTCCCTCCCCCCTCCACCGGACTTCCTTGTGCCGGTTCCCCCCCCCGGTAGAACCCCTCCCCCCTCAGGTTCCTGCTCCCTCAGGTGTGTCCCAGGTAGACGCCGTTGACCCGGTCGAGGTTACTGGTGACTCTGGTGCTGCTGCGGGTGCTGAGCCTGGGGGTGCTGGGCCTGAGGGTGCTACTGCGGAGGGTGCTGAGCCTGGGGGTGCTGAGCCTGGGGGTGCTGAGCCTGGGGGTGCTGAGACTGGAGGTGCTACGCCTTGGGGTGCTGAGCCGGGGGGTGCTGTGTCAGGAGCTGCTGAGCCTGGGGGTGCTGAGTCTGGAGCTGTTGCGCCTGGGGGTGCTGCGTCTGGAGCTGCTGAGCCTGGGGTTTCTCCTGCTGCTGCGTCTCGCCGGGAGCCCCTCTCTCCACAGGAGCTGCGCGAGTGGTTTGCTCGCCGCTGGAGGCGTGCTGCTGGAGCTGGAGCTTCTTCGACCGTAGAGGGTGCTGGTGCTGCCGGTCCCGGAGCTGCTGGGCCTGCGGGTCCTACTGGAGCTGGAGCCGCTGAGGGTGTTGGTGCTGAGACAGCTGCTGTCTGTCCTGGCGGTGGTTCAGCTGCTGGTGCTGCTGGAGGTCCTGCTGCTGGAGGTGCTAGTGGCGCTGGTGCTGTCGCTGAGGGTGCTGGTGCTGTACCTGCTGAGTCTGGAGCTGCCGCGCGGCCTCGGCCGTACTTCGTTCCGCTCCTGCAGCAGGTTCTTGGTCTTTCTCCTCCGGTAGAGTGTCCACAGCCTGTCCAGTCGCAGTCCCTGTTGGAGCCTTGCTCTCCACTGCCTGCTCCCTCTCCTTACACTGGTCCAAAGGAGGTCTTGGTGAGCGTCGTGAGCCTGCGTCTCGTCCTGCGTCGCCTGTTCGTGCTGCTCGCACTAGTGGTCGCGGTTCGCGTCAGCGTCCTCCTCCTGTCCCTGGCACGCACCGGATGTCTCTGCGTCCGTCCACTGCTCCTCTGCGTGCCCCTTTGCCTTCTCCTCCTGAGTCCTCTCTTCCTGCGCTTGCCGACCCTGAGTCGGACTCTCTTCGTGCTGCCAGTCCTACTGTCACGCGTCTCCTTGCTACTGTCGTCACTTACCCCTCGTTTGAGTCCGCTGCTGCGTCTGCCCTTGTCGCTGAGCTCGTCGACTTTGCTGCTCGCTGTCGTCTAGACTACGCTGCTAGTCTTGTTGCTGAGTCAGCGTCTGTCTGTCCTCCGTCCGTCGGGGGTGACTGTGCTCTTGGCACGGACGTCCTAGAGGACAGGCAGGAGGAGTTCCAGTGTCTGGCGGCTGCTTCACCTCATCTCGCGTCTGTACTGCTTGCTCCTGAGGGAGACCCGGATGCACTAGACATCCCGACTCCGCGCTCTTACGCGGAGGCCGTAGAGGGTCCCTACTCGTCTCAGTGGCAGGCAGCTATGGATGCAGAGATGGCTTCCTGGAAGTCCACAGGCACATACGTTGACGCAGTTCCCCCTCCTGGGGCGAACATCGTCAGTGGCATGTGGATCTTCAGGGTGAAGCGGCCGCCGGGCTCTCCACCTGTCTTCAAGGCGCGGTACGTTGCTCGTGGCTTCAGTCAGCGGCAGGGAGTTGACTACTTTTAGACCTTCTCTCCCACCCCGAAGATGACCACTCTTCGGGTGCTGCTGCACATAGCCGCTCAGCGCGACTACGAGCTTCACTCTCTCGACTTCAGCACTGCTTTCTTGCAGGGTAGCCTGCACGAGGAGATCTGGCTGCGCCGTCCACCTGGCTTCACTGGGACTTTCCCTCCTGGCACCCAGTGGAGCCTCCGACGGCCAGTCTATGGTCTCCGCCAGGCACCGCGTGAGTGGCACGACACATTGAGGACTACGCTTGCGGCTCTTGGGTTTGCTCCTTCTACTGCTGACCCGTCGCTGTTTCTGCGCACCGACACTTCTCAGCCGCCGTTCTACATCCTCGTGTACGTCGACGACTTGGTCTTTGCCACAGCGGACACTGCTGGACTCGCCTACGTGAAGTCCGAGCTGCTGAAGAGACACACGTGCACAGACCTGGGTGAACTGCGCAGCTACCTTGGCTTGCAGATCACTCGGGACAGAGCACGCCGCACCATTACCTTGACTCAGTCACACATGGTGCAGCAGGTCCTTCAGCGCTTCGGCTTCACGTACTCCTCGCCTCAGGCCACTCCTCTGCCTACTCGCCACTCACTCTCAGCTCTGCCTTCGGATGAGTCCGTAGAGTCGAGTGGTCCGTATGCAGAGCTTGTTGGCTGCCTCATGTACATGATGACCTGCACACGACCTGACCTTGCATACCCTCTAAGCATTCTTGCACGCTATGTTGCTCCTGGGAGACCTAGACCGGAGCACATGGCTGCAGCGAAGAGGGTATTGCGCTACCTGTGCAGTACGTCGGGCATGGGGCTAGTGCTTGGAGGGCGGAGTCCAGTGGTCCTTACTGGCCACGCGGACACTTTTTGAGCTGACGACCAGGCTACGCAGCGGTCGTCACAGGGTTACACCTTCAGCCTTGGTTCCGGCTCTGTCTCGTGGCGGTCTACTCGCTCGTCTTCGGTTCTCGGCTCCAGTTGTGAGGCTGAGATCTACGCCGGGGCCATGGCTGCACAGGAGCTTCGCTGGCTCACCTACCTGCTGACTGACCTTGGAGAGCCGCCTCGTTCTCCTCCAGTGCTGTACGTAGACAACAAGGCCATGCTGGCCTTGTGTCGAGAGCAGCGCTTGGAGCACAGAACGAAGCACATTGCTCTCCGCTACTTCCTTGCTCGTGAGCTGCAGCAGCGTGGTCAGTTGCGACTTGCGTACGTGGCCTCTGAGGCCAACACTGCTGATGTGTTCACCAAGGCACTCGCGCCTTGTGACCATCAGCGCTTTTGCACCCAGCTGGGTCTTGTACCTGTCTTGCCTCACTTGCTCTCCTCTTGACTTCACTTGTACTGTGACATATATATATACCTGCTCTTGCTTGTCTAGTTATATATATATGTCTATACTCTTGCATGTGAACTGGCCTCTAGCCCTGCTCTTGTGCTCGGACTGTGTGGTGACTTTGTGATCCACCCTGAGCTTGCTTTGCTTTGCTTTGCTTGACTGGTCTTGTGACCCCTTGTTCTCCCCCACTTAGCCTATGGGGGTGTGTCAGAGTATTATAGCTGATGCATGTTTGTAGGCTATAGTGGGGTAGCACATATGGGGTACAGGGTTTCTAGGGTTGTATTTGTACCCAATCTTTCCTTAGTCATTCCATTCCTGTTCACTTGTTTCACACGCTGCTTAGCCGAGAGTTGTCGAGTGAGAACGGCTCTGATTACCAAGTGTCACAGGATCGAATTCTCAATCGAAACTTGTCACTAAAACTGAATACAAGGCATTTTTATACTCGGAGAATACAAAGATAATCGAGATAAAACGAACCTTCGGGAACACGCCCTTCCCGATACTATAACCACAAGTGCGCATAAGCACGCAAGGCTATTGGCACTTGGGATGACGCCCAGATTACCCCGTATACACTACTGTCGGCGCTGTCGGTGCCGTATAATAGGTATGTCGGTGGGAAAAGTAGGAAATAAGAGAAATAAATGGAAGGCTCTAGAAAATAGAATAGTAGGCCGATTGAGATGAGATAAAGACCAAAATAAAGAGGAGAAAAGGGAAAATAGGATAACAGAAAAATATTATAGTGAGAAAATATTATAACGGGGACGTCCTCTCACACACGCACTCTCTCACGTGCTCTCTCACACGCGCTCTCTCACGCGCTTTCTCGCGCGCACTCTCATGCGCGCACACTCTTGTCAAATTATAATGTTGTCTAGGCTGTAGTGGGGTAGCCTATATGGGGTACACAATGCTAGGGTTGCATACTTGTATCACTTTCATTCCTTAGGCACTCATCCTCGTTTCTTCTCATGGTATCGAGCAGGTTCCCTCGCGGGAACAGTTCCTAGGTTCCCTCGTTTTTTTTCCTGCCCGGAGCGCACTTTGCTTAGGCCCGAGTCGCGCCTCGTGTGCCCTCTCTACCGTCGCGCCCGTCCTAGGCCTCCTTTGGCCCCGTCGCGTTGCCCCTAGCGGCCTCTCTCGCGCCGCCCTTACTCGACCCGTCGCCGCCCTTCGCGACCTGACGCCGCCCTACGCGGCCCGTCGCCACCCTCAGCGGCCCGTCGCCGCCCGTAACGGCACGCCGCCGACCTCCGCGGCCCCTCGCGCCGCCCTCACCCGCGGCCCTGCCACCTACCTGCGGGCACGCCACCCTACCAGCGGCCCCGCCGCCCTTACCTGCGGCCCCGCCGCCCTTACCTGCGGCCCCGCCGCCCTTACCTGCAGCCCCGCCGCCCTTTGCTGCGGCCCCGCCACCTTGCTGCGGCCCCGCCGCCCTTCAATGCGGCCCCGCCACCTTACTTGCGGCCCCGCCCTTACCTGCGGCCCCGCCGCCCTTACATGCGGCCCCGTCGCCTGCTGCTGCGGCCCCGCCACCTTACCTGCGGCCCCGCCGCCCTTACCTGCGGCCCCGCCACCTTACCTGCGGCCCCGCCAACTTACCTGCGGCCCCGCCGCCCTTCGCTGCGGCCCGCCACCTTATCTGCGGCCCCGCCACTTTACCTGCGGCCCCTCCGCCCTTCGCTGCGGCCCCGCCACCTTACCTGCGTTCTCGCCACCTTATCTGCGGCCCCGCCGCCCTTACCTGCGGCCCCGTCGCCTGCTGCAGCGCCGCCCGCTACCCGAGCTGCCCCAACCGCC